TAGCAATGGGATGCTCTTTAAAAATTAAATACAATTTTTTGTATTTATATCAAGTAATATATCTGTGATTTTTTTCCTTATGAATTTGATACTATTTCTTGGGCCTTATGCAACTGAATCTGATTTTTATGACACCTTGGCTACCTGCAGCTTCCTTATGAACAAAAAGAAGGTAGGTTAGTACCATAAGGCCAATGCGATGTATTGCTTGTTATTTTGGAGATAGTTTCATTATGCCAGCCATTCAATATGTATCGGGTTTCAATTGTTTCAATTTTTTAAGGGTACAATTTGCTTTTAAATTATTGTTTTATTTTTCAAGATAGTGGCAAATAAGTTTTACTTAGAAGTTTTAACCACATTGGACCACCAATGGAAGAATAGGACAAATAAATGCTTGACTTTAGAAATAAAGTGGATGGCAGGTACTAGTGATTCAGGCCTATAATCCTAGCTATTCAGGAAGCTGAGATCTGAGGATCGGGTTGGAAGGCAGCCCAGGCAGACAAAGCTAGCAGACTTTTCAATTAACCAGCAAAAAAAAAAGGAGTGGAAAGGGCCAAAGTATTGATTTCTGGAAAGCATATTATGCCGAAAAGTAGCAGCTCAAATAATAGCAGTTTTTCAGCCTGCAGCATAAATATTATCAACCATCAAGAAGTAGTCTGGGAAAAAAAAAAGTAGTCTGAATGTAGGAAAGCACACAATTCATAATAGACATCCACAGTGTAATGAACAAAAGGTGAATGAAAAGAGTTTGGACACAAAAGCAGATTGAATTAGACTTCCTTTAAAAGAGTATTTGTATTTCCCTCTGTAATTAAACATACTTAAGTCACAATTGCTCTAATCATGTTCCTTCACATTTAGTTTACCAAAAAGGCTTTGGAGGAAGCATAGGACACAAAGGGCAGATCTCCACAATAAATGACTCAACCCTGAGCCCATCCAATTATCTTTATGATTGAAATGTAGCTCAGCTCCAAGAGAACGGACAGATCTTAATGGTTCTGTTCAAGGAAGTTGGGTAATTGTATGTACCCATGAGACCATCTTGCAAAAACAAGCTGTCAGTCATTTCTAGCCTTCCAGGAAGTGCTCTTGTGGCACCATTTACTTTTCAAATAAAAAACTGTCCTCATTTTCCCATTCGCCAGAAGGGTTCCGTGTTGTTACCATGGTAACATCCAGTTACTCTGACCTCACTTTAGTTGTGTGGCCTTCTGGTCATCATATTTTATATTGCTGGGGCCTTCCTGCCTCCCTGAAGGTTGTAGTTTTCAATAAGTTCGCCTTGACAGATCCAATAAAGAAGGCATACGTAAATTTCTTCAGAAACTGACACCATAAGATATTTCACCCTAGCTACCCAGGAAGCTGAGATCTAAGGATCAAGGTTCTAAGCTAGCCCAAGCAGGAAAAGTCTGAGAGACTCTTATTAACCAGCAAAAAAAAAAAAAACAAAAAAAACTGGAAGTGGGGTGTGGCTTAAGTGACAGAGTGCCTGTCCTGAATTGAAAAGCTAAGCAAGAGTGTGAAGCTTTGAGTTCAAGCCCCAGTACCAGCACAACACAGAGAGACAGACAGAAACAGACTTCAGACTTCAAGGAGATGAAGACTGCTATTTCCCAGAGAATTAAAGGGATCTTGGCATGTGTATACTTTCTTTGGTTTGGTTTTCATACATGTTTGGCAACTTAAAACCTGTGGAATGCCAGGTACCAGTGGCTCATGCCTGTAATCCTAGCTACTCAGGACAGGCAAGTCCATGAGACTCTCTATCTCCAATTGACCACCAGAAAACCTGAAATGGCACGGTGGCTCAAGTGGTAGAGCACTCGCCTTGAGCTGAATAGAATTCAAGCCTCATGACTGACCAAAATAAATAAATAAATCTCTACTCTTCATAAATCTCCCAGTCTTGGGTATTCTTTTATAATAGCACAAAATGCACTAAAAGAATGGAATAACCGGGCTGGGAAGGTGGCTCAGTGGTAGAGTGCTTGTCTCTCATGCATGAGGCCCTGGGTTCAATTCCTCAGCACCACATAAGCAGAAAAGCCTGCTGTGGCTCAAGTGGTAGAGTTCTAACCTTGAGCCAAAGAGCTGAGGGACAGTGCCTAGGCCAAAAAAAAAAAAGAAGAATGGACATATCAGATTTTTTGAATCTCTGGCATCAAACAAATTAGTTCCAATGCAGAGGCTTCAAAATCCCTCAACAGAGGGAAAAATTGGGGGAGAGCATGGGAAGGGGTGACATGGTCCAAAAAGAAATGTACTTATGTACTATATTTCCTCTCTACATCATCTTTATGATAAAAAATAAAAATTTTTAAAAATCCACAGCTAAGACTATAATTTAAAAGCCACTCTACATTTTTTTTTTTTTTTGTCGGTTGTAAGGCCTGAACTCTGGGCCTGGACGCTGTCCCTCAGCTCTTCAGCTCAAGGCTAGCACTCTACCACTGAGCCACAGCACCACTTCTGGCTTTTTCTATTTATGTGGTGCTGAGAAATCGAAGCCAGGGCCTCGTGCATGCAAGACAAGCACTGAGCCACCTTCCCAGCCCCTCTGCATCTATTTTCATTCAGAATGTTGAAGGACAGAAAAGGTTTTTCTTTTGAAACTAAAGCTTGGGTATGGAGTCTAACGCTCATGTTATAAATTATGGAGTCAGGAAGAATTTGTGATGATGTATAACAGTCTGTACAGCTACCCGGAAAAACAGTTTGGTCAGCAGGGAGGAAAAGATGTGGAGCTTCACAACTTGACCCATGCCCTCAGCCCTTTTGCTTTATTTTTTTCCAATAAGGTTTCATTTTGTTTGCTAGGGCCGGCCTGGACAATGATCCTCCTTTTATGCTTCCCAGGTAGCTAGAATGGCAAGTGTGTGCCACTGTTCCCAGATTTATATTGGTTGTGATGGGGTCTTAGGAACGTTTTTTCCCCACACTGGTCTTAAACAACACAGTCTTCCCATTCTCTATCTCCAGAGTAGCCCCAAAGACTTTGTGCAACAGAGGAACTGGAGCTGAGGAGGGAATCCCCCAAAGGTCCCACCATTGAGAGGACCTGGAAGTTCCTGGCTTCTCTCCCTGCCTGTTAGGAAGCTAGAAGAAGACAGCAGGGTGTGGGCTCAAGGCTCCGAAGAGTAGGCTCATTGTTTCTTCTTTGTAAACAAACTCAGATGCCCATCTCATGAGGTCAGTTTCAGTTGACAGTGCTTTGCATAAACACAAAATGCTTTTTTCCTCTTGATGAGCATAGAAATTCCTAAATTCTGAGCATGGCTCTAAGGATGGACAGGCAGGAGACTCTGGTTTACTCTCGCTCTGTATGACACTGAGGTGAAATCAGCTGGTCAGCCAATGTGTCCCTCACTCATGGTGCGTGTGACAAACACTTTTTTTTGTCAGTTGTGGGGCTTGAACTCTGGGCCTGGGCACTGTCTCTCAGCTCTTCAGCTCAAGGCGAGCGCTCTACCACTTGAGCCATAGCACCACTTCCAGTTTTCAGGTGGTTAACTGGAGATGAGTCTCATGGACTTGGCTTTGAACCCCAATACTCAGATCCTGAGTAGCTAGGGTGACAGGCGTGAGCCACTAGCGCCTAGTGACAAGCCTGGGGACAGGTGTGCCATTTCCCAGCTTTTTACATGCTGAGAGAGGTGGTGGGTGTTTTGCTCATGTCACGTGGTCCAGAGCTGGGATTATGTCCAGAGTAAAGTGAGGTGTGGGACAGCTCTGCTCTCCCTCGTGCCCACACTTCCTGCTTCTCAACTCTGAGTCAGACTACCCTTGATCATCCGTTAGCCTGGCCATGCCTGTTCTCATCTTGTGGGGAAAAGATACGCCGTCCCCCCCCCCCCACCTCCTCCTCTCCACTAGGGCTTCACCTCATTGTGTCTTGGAGGAAACCAAAGCTTCTTTTTAGGGGTGGGGAACCTTATAAAGCCCACAAAATTATTTGATCTGGCCCTGACAAGGCATAGATCAGTAAGTCTAGGAGTTTTTGTTCACAGCAGCAAACATATTAAGTGAATCATAAGAATGACATAAAATTTGAGGGAGAAGTAATGAACATTGAGAAAAAAAACGTTCCCCACCCCTTCCAGAGAGAGTGGAGATACCAGAGCAGCAGTGGAGACCTGAGCACAACTCTGGTCTCACTACCAGCCTGTACTTTTTTTTTTTTTTAAGGATAAAGAGTCATGGTCCCTGCCATAATACAGAGCTCATAATACAGGGATGTTGGAAATGTTTCTTAAATGTTCTCTGATTGAACTCAGTGTGCAAAGTTTCATACCACAGTCCTTTTCTGGCTCTCAGTTCTGGGACTTCAATTCTCCCACTTCAGCTTCAGAAGTGCCTGGATTATCATGCCTAGAGTAACTTCCATTAAATTTTTTAAAATTAATTTTAAAGAGAAGAGTTGGGGACATAGCTTAAAGAACTTCCACACCACTCAACCAGATTTCCAACTAGAAACATTTTTACCACATTTTCCCCTAGAATTTTATCTATCTAGTTATCTAATTTATCTGCCAATCTATCATCTGTCCATCTACCCATCTTTCTAATCTATCTCATCTGTTTGTCCTCTGCTAACCAGCTATCTAGCCTTTCTCCACATACCCTCCCAGCCAATTGAGACGAGTGGAAGATAGGATCCCTCCCCACAAAACAGGACAGAGAGCCGGGCGTCCGTGGCTCATGCCTGTAATCCAAGCTACTCAGGAGACTGAGATCTGAGGATCGAGGTTCAAAGCCAGCCTGGGGAGGAAAGCTCGTGAGACTCTTATCTCCAATAAACCACCAGAAAACCGGAAGTGGTGCTGTGGCTCAAGGGGCAGAGCGCTCCTCTTGAGCTGAAGAGCGCAGGGACAGTGCCCAGTCCCAGAGTTCAAGCCCCATGTCTGACCAAAAAACAAACAAACAAACCAGGACAGATTTCCAATTCATACGATTCATTTTGCTATCAACCTTTTTCACAAAAGAACTGGCGAGCTAAATCAAAACAACATTGAGATATCACCTCACTCCAGTTAGAACAGCAAAAATCAAGAACTCTAACAACAACAGATGCTGGAGGGGATGTGGACAGAAAGGAACCTTACTTCATTGTTGGTGGGAATGTAAACTTGTTCAACCACTTTGGAAAGCAGTATGGAGGTTCCTCAAAAGACTCCACATAGAGCTCCCCAACGACCCAGCAATCCCACTTTTGGGCATTTACCCAAATGATCACAAACAAGGCCACACTAAAGCTACCAGCACAACTATGTTTATTGCAGCATTATTTACCATAGCTAAGACATGGAACCAACCCAGATGCCCCTCAGTAGATGAATGGATCAAGAAGATCTGGTATATATACACAATGGAATTCTATGCCTCCATCAGAAAGAATGACATTTCCCCATTTGTTAGGAAATGGAAAGGCTTGGAAAAAATTATATTAAGTGAAGTAAGCCAGGCCCAAAGAAACATAGGTCCCATGGTTTCCCTTATTTGCAATATCTAGTATAGGTATGAGTCAAGCGGAAAAAGTCAGATAATGTGATGTTAGGAAAACAAAACCTCAAATATCTATTTTAATGTTTTTGTTTCTTTCATGCATGTGTTTCTAACGCATTTATAAGATTATTTCTTTGTTGCTTTGTATGTCCCTCCCCCACAGTGTAACCCCCGCTTTCACTATATTTGATGTCAGTATAACATGTGGAGGAGATGGGGACAAACAAGTCGTTTAAGGATTCAGGTGGACCTGTTGCAACAATGAGAAGTACAAAATGTCATGTCAAAACCAGCTTTACAATGTCGGTGGGGGGGGGGAGGGGGGGTATGATTGGTTGGGAGGGAGGGGGGAGGCTGGGAAGGGAGGTGAAGGGTAAACAAAGGAGGAGGCTGCAATGCTTGGTAAGAAATGTATGCATTATCCTGCCCATGTAATTGTAACCCCTCTGTACAGTATGTTCTCAAATAAAATAAAATAAAATTAAAAAAAAAAAAAAAAAAAAAAGAACTGGCGAGCTCTCCCTGATCCACCATCCACAGTGGGCAGGAGGAGTCTAGGTCACCAGCTCTGAGAGCCGGAGGGACTCAAAGTGAGTGAAGTGAGTGAGTGAGAAAAGGCAAAGTGCTAGGATTGCTGTTTGGCCAGTGGGGAGGGGTAGGGGAGAGGAGGGGGGGGCTTCTGCCCTCGCCCAGGCCCCTCTGGTGGACAGTCTTCCACCTTGGTGCCCTGGGCAGGGGGGGGGTGGGGAGCTCCCATTGCCTCTCAGGTTTTTGGAGCCATCTCTGGGCCCAGGGTGGTAAGTGCCTGCCTGAAACTCCTTTCCACATCTCCTTGAAGCTCACAGAACTGCTGCAATAAATAGGAAGCTCAGGACATGCAGTTAAAATGAGGGCACATAGCCTGTACCTCCCCTCTGTACCCCCAACCTCTGTCCCACTGGTGTTCCCCAGGCTCTCTCTACTCCTGAGAAGACTCTCGGCCATGGTCATGTTCCCCAGGTGGGCGAAGGCGGGGAGATCACCCGTGCCATCGGTTTCCAGTGCTGGCTCCTGGGTCACTGCTTGTCTCTGAAAAAGGGAACCTCTGCCCCTCTGGTCTGTCACCCCCAGCCTGGTTCCAGTGGCTGTGAGCGTGACAGCAATATGGGGGTACAGTCGGGAGCCTCTACTTCCCCTGCTGCCCTTCCCTGCTAAGCCTGCCTCCTCCGTACCCCGTGTGTGTGTGTGTGTGTGTGTGTGTGTGTGTGTGTGTGTGTGTTTCTAGTCCCTTTCATCCTGTCTGCACCCACAAACTTCCCCCTTGGGACCCTCTGTCTTCTATGACCCACAGCCTTGTCCTTGTGTACTGAAAGTCTGGAGGTCCACGTGCTCTTCTATTGAAACGGCGGAGTTTCCCCAGGAAGGAGTCTTTGGCAACTCCAGGTCAAGGGACACAGTGATCACAGCAGCGGTGACACAGACAGGAGGTTGGGGGAGGCGCGGGCGCCACCCTTGCTGCAGGGCCTCTCCCCAACTTGGACAGCTCTGCATCCCCAACAGGACCCCGGAAGCCATCAAGGAGCATCTTGGCTGCAGGTGGGTCTGGCTTGCACACTTCTCTCCTCCCCATTCCCTGTTTAGAGCAGAGGTTTCCAAGCCTGATGCTTCCCATGGTCTTGATCTCAGGACCAGTCAAGTCTCTGGCCTGGGCCCTGCGAGGCATCCATACTTAAAAAACATAATCCCAGCTGGGCGCCGGTGGCTCACGCCTGTAATCCTAGCTACTCAGGAGGCTGAGATCTGAAGATCATAGTTCAGAGGCAGCCGAGCCAGGAAAGTCGGTGAGACTCTTACCTCCAATGAACTACCAAAAATCCAGAAGTGACGCTGTGGCTCAAGTGGTAGAGTGCTAGCCTTGAGCTGAAGAGGTGAAGGACAGCACCCAGGCCCAGAGTTCAAGCCCCACGACCGACAAAAATAAAATCATCTATATGCAAACTAGTCAAGCCCCAGGAACAGAAAAAAAAAAAAAAGGAAAAAGAGGGCCTACTTTGAAGGATTTGTGTACAATCATCTGCTTATAATGGGTGGTCATAGGTGCCATCCTTTTCTGCCTCATCTGAACCTTTTTTTTTTTTTGGTCAATCGTGGGGCTTGAACTCTGAGCCTAGGCACTGTCCCTCAGCTCTTCAGCTGTGCTCAAGGCGAGCACAATACCACTTGAGCCGCAGTGCCACTTCCAGTTTTCTGAGTGGTTTATTGGAAATAAGAGTCTCACAGAGTTTCCTGCCTGGGCTGGCTTTGAACCATGAGCTTCAGATCTCAGCCTCCTGAGTAGCTATGATTACAGGTGTGAGCCACCGGCGCCAGGCCCTCTTCCGAACCTTCTATCTGCAAACCCCCGGAAGGCAGAGCTGGAGTCCACGTCAGCTTTGTCTACACAGTGCGCAGCACGTAGCAGCAGCCCTCAGTAAATACTTGGTGGCTACATGAGTCAGAAGGAAAGCTGTGTGTAATGTTAAGATCTGCTTCCTGACTTTGGTCTGGAAGAAGTCAAATGGGTGGATTTGCGTAGTTAATTTTTTTCTCTCTCCTTGGTTCACTGAACATGATGGGTGAGGGAGGCATTCTTCAAATTTGAAGATAAAGACCCAGTCGCTGACACCCAGGAGAGTCTGCTGGAAGATCCAGGTTCATGACCCGGCTGTTTTCTTTATTGATCTGTATCTGGTACAGAGGAGGAAGTGAAGAGGAGGGAAGAGTGGGTGTCTAGCCTAGAGGATGTTTGCCAGATGGAGAAGCAGGGAAGGGCACTGGAGGCTGAGGGAACATCATTAGCCAAGCCCCAAGGATGCTAGGAGATGTCAGGAGAGCACGGGGGTCCACACAGCCATGATGGCTGCAGTGGGTGAAGCCTGGGGGCTGGACCGAGAGGCAGGGACTGTTCCCTGAGAGCTGCCGACATCAGCCGAGCACATCTGCACGGGTTGCCTTCCCTCTGCTATCCTGACGCCCCTCTGTCTTGCCTGTCAGGCAGGTCAAGCTTTGTCTCCTTGACAGAGAAGGATTAGGGAGAGGTGGTCCCCGTGGGCTTCGTGTAGGGACCATGACTTTGGTGCCTGAGCCCCCTGAGAAAATGCGGGGTGGCCTGTGGAAGAAAACATATGCTGGGCTCCAGGGGCCTGCCTTGGCTGTTCATTACCAGGCCCGCCCTTGCTGATTTGTTTGTTTGATCTGATTCTGCCCTTCCCTGCCGTGACACCTTGGCTATTTAATCTGCCACAGTTTTATCTGTGAAAAGCAGGCGGGAGACCAGGTGATGAGATTCTGGGATGCCAAGGAAAGAGGAAGTCCAGAGAGCGGGCGTGGGGGGGGGTTCATAGATAAGCAGAAGGTGGGGCTCCCAGATACAACCAGGTCTCTCCCAGAAAGGACCAGCACAGCCCCTTCAGAGCAGGTATGTCTGAGGAAGAAAAACACACTTGGCCGTTTTTCCTGCCTGAGCATTCACCAGCCACATCACGCCTGCTGTCCCAGCATGCACGGGGACCAGATGGCATCCTCTGATGCCAGTTCTGACACTGTCTTGGCTGGGGGGGGGATTCAGCCCCTCCAACGCTGCTCACTGCTACCAATAGTTTCCCCAAGAGCCCCTCTCTAGGCTTCGGTTAATTTGCTGGAGCAGCTGACACTAATTTATCACAAAGAATGCTTGGATGCCAGACACAGGTGGCTTCCACCTGTAATTCTAGCTACTCGGAGGCTAAGATTGAGCTGGTGGAAGTCTGAGGCTAGACCAGGCAGAAAAGTTTGAGAGACTTCCCTTCTCAACCTATAAATGAGCACCGTGGCGTGCGCCTGGCTCCCCAACCTACCTGGGAGGTGGAGATTAGGGAGGATTGCAGGGCCAGGCCAGTCCTGACAGCAGAATCTGAGACACTTCATCTCCCGGAGAAGGGAAGCTGGCCGCCCCCCACACCTGTCATCTCAGCAACGACGGAAACGTCGATGGAAACTGTAAAAGTAGGTGAACCGTTGATTCTCAACTGGGCTGGAAGTAAAACCCTATCCTAAATTTAATCAGTGAGAAACAGGCCTGGAGGTGTAGCTCAGCCACGCCAGGCCAGCCTAGCAAGTGTAAGACTCTGAGTTCAAATCCCAGTACCAATCACACACACACACACACACACACAAAGAGTTTGAAAGGACATAAGCAGTCATTTGGGGAGACACTTAGGGCGAAGTGCAGAAGGGTCCAAAGTCCAGGAGAAAGCCTCATGCTGATCATGAACTCACAGGCGAGGACCGGGGTGACCTGGTATAACTACCCCAGAGAAAGGGGGAGGGGCTGGATTTGGCCTTCAGGCCAAAAGCAAGAAAAAAAATCACTTGTTCTATAAAGCTGTGATCAGGGCGCTGGTGGGGGGGGGGGGGGCTGGGGACCCCTGACGGCCACTGGATCAAGGCAGTCTGCCAACAGAGGAAGGGGGCAGAGGGGGGAATGTTCAGGAAGGACTGGTAAGGGCTGGATTCCCACCTCGTGACAGTCTTGTCCCTCTGTTCCTAGAATCCTCCTCCCAGTTATCCCATGAATCCTAGCAGTCAGGGAGGGGGTGGGGGAGGACAGGAGACAGTCTAACCCTTTATTGGAGCCCCTCAGGGCTCAAACTCCTGCGTGTGTCCCCTCCGATGTCCTCACAAGCCCTTCCGCCACACAGTCTTATTCATCATCTCCTCCCATTTCCCCATTTCCTCCCGATCCATCCTGACACACAAGTGAGCTTGGCTCTGTCTTCCCAGGTGTGTCCTAGGTCGGGTCATGGATATTTCCTGGTCTGGCTGAGGACAGGCCCAGAGCTGGGAGCAGGGATTGGGTGATCCGTGGTTGGATGATCCCATGGCATGCGTAGATCCCAGGAGCTCTGAGTGTAGATCCCAGGAGCTCTGGGTGTAGATCCCAGGAGCTCTGGGTGTAGATCCCAGGAGCTCTGGGTGTGCCATGTACTTTTCCAGATTCCAAACAGCAGGCATCAGGGGAGAAACAGCCTGATTGATGACATTTGCTGATTTCTGTGGTAAAAAAAAATTCTCACCAGGGTCAATTGCAAACAACTACGGTAATGTTCTGGAAGGCAGAGTCGGGGGAAAGTTAGGTGGTAATGCTATTGCCTTGCAAGTCCTACCTGCAGATACCTGGTGTGACTTGTCACCACACGAGAAGGTACATAATTAGGGAGGGATGAGCTCTGAGTATCACTTTTTCTCCCCTCCGCCCCCCCCCCCTTTTTTTTTCTAGTCCTGGGGCTTGAACTCTGGGCCTTGGCACTGTCCCTGAGCTACTTTTGCTGAGATCTGTGTTTAATGGGAGATAAGAATCTCATGAACTGGCTTGGGCACTGGTGGCTCACGCCTGTAATCCTAGCTACTCAGGAGGCAGAGGTTTGAGGATCACAGTTCAAAGCCAGCCTGGGCAGGAAAGTCTGTGGGACTCTTTTTTTTTTTTTTTTATTTTTAAACCTCTGTTTATTTTCCCTTCTCCTAGCTTTCTCAGCTTAGGTATTGAAATTGTATTTGTCTTTGTCATAGTTTGTAACTATGTACCTTTTAGATGATTGTGCCCATATTACTGACACCCGCTTCTCCTTTGCCTTCTGAGACATAGCTTTTTCCTGTTTCATTTTGATACTCATTTTTCTCAGTTGTCTTTACTGACTTCTCATGTCTTCACTCCATTTTTCTGTCTTGATTAATGGTGATGGCAGTAACTCAGCTGCCCAAATTGTAATTTTGGACTCGACATTCCTTCTACTATCTCTTATTTTTCATTAGTTATTTTCATTAGTTATATACTTCAGTTGTTGAATCGTCTGTGGGACTCTTATCTCCATAAACCACCAGAAAACTGTAAGTGGCACTGTGGCTCAAGTGGTAGAGAGCTAGCTTTGAGCTGAAGAGCTGAGGGACAGGGCCCAAGCTCAGAGTTCAGGCCCTACGACTGACCAAAAAAAAAAAAGTCTTATGAACTTTCCTGCCTGGGCTGGCCTTGAACTTGATCCTCAGATCTCAGCCTCCTGAGTAGCTAGGATTACAGGTGTAAGCCACTGGCACCTGGCCCTACTTTTAAACGTACTAACCAGGTTCACAGTGTGGGCTCGTATCTGCAATCCCAGTTACTTGGGAAGTGGAGATAGGGAAGATTGAAGTTCCAGGCCATCCCAGAGCAACAACTAAAGTAAAGACAAAGACAAAAATAACAACAAAAAGTAAACAGGGCTGGAATTGTGGCAGACCACCTGCCTCACAAGTATGAGTCCCTGAGTTCAAAAACTCCAGTATTACATATATTTGTGTTAGAACTTTTTTTCTCCCTAATTTGATGAGTGAGGCAACGATGACTTAACACCAGCTTTGGGAAACGAAAAATTTAACAACTAGCTCTTGTGAGTAGTTACAAGCCCCCCTGCAGCAGGTTACCATTTCTACTTGGGCCAGGAGAAAAGGGAGCCACTGCAAACCGCAAACTCTAGGGGGCGCTGCTAACATGGCTCTGTCCTTTTCTTCCTGCCCAGGTCTTGCATATACTACTGCCAGTCTGG